AGCATTTTTTTAATCATTATTTACTCAAAATCAATTTCTTATCCCGTAAGGTGATTTTAATAGCTTAGCCCCCATTTGATAAATTTTATTATAAATTAATATAAATTTTAAATAAATTTTTATACTATAAATTAATAATATTTATTATAGTATTAATTATTTAGATATTATTTATTTTTAGATAAAATTACTTATGTTTAGGATTATTTAGTTTTAAATAAATATAATACTTATAATATAAGAAAATAAATTTAGTAAAAAATAATAATAAATAATTTATTAATAATATAAAATTTTTATAACTTTGCATTTTAATTTTATTTAAATAAAATAAATTAAAAAAATATATATAAATATTAAGATATTTTTTTTTTACTTTAATTAAATAAATATATTAAATTTAATTATTTATTTTATGATATTATTTTTAAATTATTAATAATAAATTCAAAATAAACATTTTTTTAAAATATAATTATTTTATAAATAATTTATTGTAATTAGTAAAATTAGTAAATTATATTATAAAAATTATATTAAAAAAGTTTTAATTAAATTAAAATAAATTTTTATAGATATTATTAATATAATAAATAATAAATATATTTAATTAAGTTTAAAATTTTATAAAAAAATATAATATTAAATTATTTTAAATGAAATATAAATCTGTAATTTACTATTTAATCTTTATTATATTTTTCTTTATAATTAATTTCAATTTCACAAATTTCTTCAAATTCCTTAATTTTTTTATAATTAATAAAAGGTTGATTTAACCAACTGGATAATATAATCATGATTTTTTCTCTTTCATTTATTAATTCTATTGATGATATTATATTTTGTTTTAAATTTAATTCTTGTGTATACATATTTAATATATTTAATGATTTATTAACTAAATAAAAATATTATAAAATTTGTTAATTTAGTGTTATAAAATTTTATTAATAAAATTTAATTAATAATTACCAAATGTTTCTAATGGACATGTTAAATATAATGACGTATTATATGTAAATTCTTCTCCCATACTTTCACAAGTTTCTTCAAGTAATGATTCCATTTGTAATGTTTGCATTTTCATTTTTGTATATTGTAAACTCTATTCGTTTATTAAAAAAAAATATTAACGTTAAAAAAAAAAAATTATTAAAGAAAAATTTTTTTTAATCATTTTATAAAAAGGATTACCATTTTTTCAAATATTTGATGTAAAGAGCATAACAAATTTTTATACGTTTCATTTTCAGTTTCATGATTTTTTTCTTCTAAATTAGGTAAATTATCCAATTCTTCTTTCCAATATAATGAATAATCAATTTGCCTAAAGTATATAAAATACATTTTATTATTAATAAGACATTGGGATGTGATTAATATCGTTTAATATCGAGTCAATATACCGTTCTTGTAATTTTATATTCATAAGGGAATTGGCCGTCGTAATACCATTGTCATTAAGTTCTGACCAAATTTGCCTTGCTCTTTTGAATTCGTTCAATTGAGTGTTTAATCTTCGTTTAATAGTTGAGGGCTGTAACATTTTATCAAAACAAGACTTATCACAAAAAAAAAATGAATATAAATATAAACTTTTACACAAAATTTTTGTGATTTTGACATATTGAGATGGGGGATCATTAGGACTATTGCGGTGACCAATAACATAGTCAGAACTGATTAATAAACGCAATAAAATGAGACTTATATTTGGAATGTGCTAATTTGTCTCTTGATATACGAATAAAGATTACTTTGGTGAATTGAATGGGACTATATTGATAAATAATAAAAAAAAACTCGGTTGATAAATTCTAAAATTTGTCGAAACGGATAGTAGTTCTAACTTTCTTTTTATTTATTAGACGTCCTTCAACTTGTTGAATTAGATTTATGCTCAATTCGATTATTACGTTCGTGTAATTTTCGCGTTTTCATTGTAACAAATATAGTTTAACGAAATCGTGTTTTACAAATAGAAATAATCGGTTAATACTTGAATTTTGTATTCTTTCACAATGGATTATAAAGGGTCATGTGAGTTTCTACAAAAGACGTGGAAGTCTCTAGCAAGACAAAAAGAGAGCAATTGTTTTAATCAAAAGATTTACAGATTTTTTTTTTTTTTTTTTTTTTTGATCACCACCAATCATTTTATAAATTTTGAAATTTTGAACAGCCCCAACCAAAAATTAAAATGATTTCGCGAAATCAATTAAAACGTTTGCATTCAACAATAGTTAAACCTTATATTTACAATAAAGGTTTGCGAAGTTTATGTTCAACATCTATAAAATTTCACCGTGTTCAACATGATACAAAACAAGAACCTGAAACGCACTTTGGATTTAAGAATGTTCCAGAAAGCATGAAAGAGAATTTAGGTAATTAAAAGCAACTTTAAATAAATCAACGATCGATGCGGATATATAATACATATTTTGTCAATGATTGATTAGTCGGACAAGTTTTTGAAAACGTAGCAACAAAATATGATGTAATGAATGACGCCATGAGTTTAGGAGTTCATAGGTTATGGAAAGACCATTTCATTAGAACCATGGCTCCAGGACCTGGCACAAAATTATTGGATGTTGCAGGAGGAACTGGTAGGTTCCGATAATCAGTTAATTTGAATCATATTACACATTAATCTGTTGTGGCTCATGGTGTTACGTAGGTGACATCGCCATGGGATTCCTGAATTATTGTAAAGAGATTCATGGAGATGCTAGTGCTCAAGTCACGCTATTGGATATTAATCCTAAAATGCTCGAGGTTGGTAAAAAACGATTCGCTAAATCTTCATACAATCATAGTAAGCATTAAAAAATTCAACTTTATGTTATCATCATAATCATAATAATAAAAATTATGATACTTAATCTCGTCCTCTTTCTTTTATACTATTATTAAGCATCACAAGCGACATTTGAAATTGGAAACGCGGAAAATCTTTCATCAATTCCATCAAATTCATTTGATGTATACACAATAGCATTTGGTATCCGTAATTGTACCCATATAGATCGTGTATTACACGAAGCGTATCGAACCTTGAAGCCCGGTGGAAGATTTATGTGTTTGGAATTTGGAAAGGTCCAAAATCCTTTAATCTCATCGTAAGTTAAATATACCCTTAGATGATTCACCAATCAAAAAGAAAATTGACTTGATATGTATTCGATGTATTTAGGATATATAACTTTTATTCCTTTCAAATAATTCCGGTGATTGGACAAATAATTGCTGCAGATAGAGATTCTTATCAATATTTAGTGGAAAGCATTCGTCGGTTCCCTTCACAAGAGCAATTTGCTGAAATGATAAAAGACGCGGGATTTACTATTGTAGGAGATGGCTGGGAAGATCTGACTTTTGGAATTGTGGCATTTCACTCTGGGTTTAAACTTTAATCATATTATAATGAAAACGTTATACCTTCATTAGTTAGAATTTTCATAGAAATAATACCAATACAGTATAAGCATATTCACTGATTTTTTTTTTTATAAGCATTGGGAAAACCAAATTTAGTTGGTTACGACATATGTCACATGATACGTCCATCCATACATATAAAAAAGTTGTGATGGATAAAAAATGTTTTTGCTCACCCTTTAAAAATCATCATGACTTCGCATCTATTTATTAGATTATTTAATAATTCGCCCAAATACCTTTTTATTCGAAATAATTCTTTCAAACCCTATTCTCTCTTAACAAATTCTTACTCTACTGTCGCGCCATTATCTACAAATAAAGAATCAAAATTAAAAAAATATTCCCCTTACATTTATTCGTATTTTTCTTGGGTGATATTCGGTTCAATGTTGTTACATTTAAATTGGTCTAAAATGAAATATAATGATTATAAAGAAAATATGCAATTAAAAATTACAAAACTCGAAGAAACGATTGTTCAATTAGAAAGTGGTGAAAACATGGATGATGATTTAACAACGAAAAGTATCGCTGATTCAGATAATGGTAAGTTTTCCGAATTTATATTATTAATGATGTTGATTTTATTTTTTAATTAAATCTTTAAATATTAAACTTTTTTTAATCGTAAAAGTACATAGTGAAGCAAAATTGAATTATGAACAGCAACAATCAGACACCAACGTAATCATAGAGACCTCTTCAGTTAAATGGATATAATGATCAAATATCTATATCCATAAGATTTTCATTTTTTAGGTTTTCATCCGCTTCTTTCTTTTTCTCCTTTAATTTCACTTCTAATGCTTTTAAGAGCATTGTACATTTAGATGACAAAATTTGTAGAGAATCAAAGACAATTTTCTCCGAATCTAGAATTCCTGTAGATTCAACTCTAACTTTAAACGATCGATCAATCACTTTTTTTAGTAATAGAAAATTTTAGTTTAATAAATGGAAAGAAAAAAAAAAATTCTTACAAATGAAATGATCTCGTATCCGTGTAAGTTGTACTTTGTCTTCAAATTCTTTATGTCGTAATACTTCCCGACTGACCATGTCAATCCGTGGGTTTACTACCTTGGCAACTTCTATAGTTTTCCCATCGACTTGAACGACAAGAAAGTTATATGATTTTGAATGTTTTAACATTTCAATTTAAGTTGTGAGATGTTTACCATTTTCATCCTTGACTTCAACTACACCTGGGGTAAAACACGAGGCAAATTTAATGGCCAGATCTCCAGTAATTTCCTCCTTCAAAATTATTTCTGGCATCAAGCGATACGATGCGGTTGCTGAGTGAATGATGGAAACTTGTTAAGATCTAGGGTGGAGAACATGTAGAATTAAAAATCAAAAAGTTAAAATGTTTACCAACGGGGGACCATTTTGCATGTTCTTTGCCACATCCTTTTTCACAATGTGCTTCCAATTCTATTTTCTGACCTGGTCTCATTTGTGCTACAAGGATATCTTGATGAACGGGTCGAATCTGAGAATCTTTGAACCTGTCAGCTTGATCGCCTTTAGGTTCCCATATTAGAGCTGTAGAGTAGACTAAAAACAAAAATCATATATCAATAAGTTAAATAAAAAATTATGCATTACCAAAAATGAATAAAGACCATTGTGATTTAAATATAATTTTGTTGGATCCGTTTCATTTGCCGCAGCTTTAGGATTACGCTTGCATTCTTGTTTCAGTTTAAATACAATTGTGTTCTGATCTGTTGGATGCTCGGTCGCTAATTTTTACAAAAAACAATCAGAAGCGAATCAATAAAGTACCAGATAACAATGATTTCATTGGAAAATTCTTGTAAATACATAGTTTAAAGTCAAATTCATCAGGATTGGCTTTTATTGGAATTAAGCCTAACCGATGTGCCAATACTTCATCTTGTACTATTGATGTATTGTCATAAACAAAAACCTTTTCGATGGCCAAGGTTGGTACCTAAATCGAAGATCAATCTTGTAAATATTTTAAAAAGTTAAAATTTTAAACCTTATCAAATCAAGACTTACCTCGGCGATCATAATCCTTCTTAACGCGTTTGCTATTGATGCATCAACTCCAATTAGGTCAAATTCCATATCATATTGAGATTTTTTTTCGATGGAGACTCTTAGTTTCTAGAAAGGGGGAAAAAAATTGTAAACGAAAAATAAATGTTTGAATTGATTTATATTAAAATAGAAACTCACCTTCCTTATTTTTTCTAAAAAATCAATATGTGAATATCGATTACTAGTATGAAAAGGAAAGTCACTTGATGATATCTTTAATAGATAATACCGAAACAACTATTAGTTAAAAAATCGAATAGCGAAACATTAGCCTTTACATACACTGGAAACGCTGTCACGTTCTACAATAACTCTGCTTTGGATTAGCTCCAAACGATCTTGAGCTGCAGAGGCTCGCTTAGAAGATGATTTGCTCATTATAAGTTCTTTTTTTTTTTCGCGTAGGCAAAGCGAATTTTTTTTTTTTTTTCACGATAATTTTTATTTATTTAAAAGATGACAAATTTCGAGATTTAACATATGATTGGACGATTACTGTGTAAAAAAGCTGGTACTAAAATTAGCGTTATGTGCGACAATGGTTCTTATAATATTTGGGGTTTGCGTTTGACATAATGAAACATGTACAATGCATTGCATACACATGCATTTAGAAAATATAGACATTCATCTAATGAATCGGATGTTTTCTTCCGTTTGACTTAAATTCTTCCAAAAATTTTGAATAGTAGTAAAAGGTTCAATCCTTATCACTTTTCATTCCACTTTTCATTTTGTTTTCATTATTTTTTCATTTTTTTTTTTTTTTTTTTTTTAAGGTATACCCATCTTTTAATTATTATTATTTCTCAAATATGAAAAAATAAAAGTGGTAATTTACTGAACTTGTTTTTTTTTTGATTTTTTTCAACCAAAAGTCTAAGCATAATTAATGAAGGTCCTTATCTGTGGCGGAGCTGGTTATATCGGTTCTCATATTGTTCGTGAACTTGCCGCTCTACCTGATTATGAAGTTGTTATTGTTGATAACCTCTCTAAAGGACACGTAGAATCCATTCCTAAAGGCGTAACTTTTGAAGAAGCAGATATCTGCGATAAAAGATCAATTGAGCCTGTTTTCGAAAAACACAGACCTAAAGCCGTGATGCACTTCTGCGCTTCCATTGAAGTTGGGGAAAGCGTCGAGGATCCTTTACGTTATTACGAAAATAATGTCGCCGGAACAATTTATTTATTGCAGACCATGCAAAAATATGATGTAAAACATTTTATCTTCTCCTCAACTGCCGCTATCTTTGGTAATCCTGAAACGACCCCCATAGAAGATAATGATACAACCATTCCAATTAATCCTTATGGCGATACAAAACTCACCGTAGAAAAAATCCTCAATTGGTGTGAAAATGCTTATGATATAAAGTACGTTTGCCTTCGATATTTCAATGCCTGTGGAGCCCATGAAAGTGGTGAAATCGGTGAGGATCATAATCCAGAAAGTCATTTGATTCCTCTCGTACTTCAAGTGGCTCTTGGTCGTAGACCTCAAATTAAGATTTACGGTGATGATTATGATACTAGAGATGGAACTTGTATTAGAGATTATATACATGTTACAGATTTGGCACACGCACATATTAAGGCTTTGGAGTACCTCATGAAAGAAAATAAATCTCAAAAATTTAATTTGGGTTCAGGTGAAGGGTATTCCGTTAAAGAAGTAATTGAAGCCGCTAGAAAAGTTACGGGACATCCAATCCCTGCCGTGGTCGAAGGTCGTAGACCTGGCGATCCAGCCGTGTTGATTGCTGGTTCGAGTCGAGCTGAAAAAATACTTGGATGGACTAGAAAATATAAGAATGTTAAAGATATCGTTGCCACCGCATGGAAATATCATCAAGCATTTCCTCATGGATTTACCGGAAAATAATTTGTGGGCTTGGTTTTCCAATCTGTAGGAATCTTTTTTTTAATAATTTATTAAAATCATTAATAAAGACCGACTTTCTACACGTGACATAAAGTAATAAAATGTGTATCACGTGATTCTTGAGAATATGTGGCTATACCCCAGTATAAATACGCCCTATTTTTTAAATTTTAAACTAAGCAAAAACCCTCTTAAAGGTTATTTGATACAGTTTTGTGTGTAGTATATACATTCATTTTCGAGTATTTCGAGTAAAAGCTGTAAATATTTATCAAGATAGGGTCAGAAATTAGTTTATTTCCCTTCTCAACTAGTGCGATTTCTAAGATGGTACAACAAGGAAAAGGCAGTAGTATCGAGTCAAAAGTTCAAAATGTTACCCCAACGCTACCACACCTTGTCGACCTTAGCGCTAAATGCACATTAATTAAACAATTAACTTCGGAAATATTACAAAAAGCAGAAAAAAATCAAAATGTAGGTGAAACGGTTCAAATTAGTTAAATCGATTTACTTCCGATTTCTTTTTATTAAATGATTTGATTTATTATAAAAAAGTTTTCGTCGGATCCATCAACTGATGGAATAAAATCACAACTTGCCAGTTCATTTATACAACTTAGATCACTTAATCGTAAGTCTAATTTAGAAAAGAATTCGGGCAAGTTTGCTACGCAGGAAGCGAAATTGGCTATGGATAAAATTCATCTACAATTGCAAGATCTCAATTATATGAAAAACTATCTTCAAAGAGAGATTCGCAAATGTCGATCATTTAGATCCATATATCAAAAGGTTCCTCTTTTGTCAGAAGAGGAATTTTTAAAAAATGCGTCTGATGAATTAACGGCTCAATTGCCCAAAGGAGCTACAAAAAGACAACAACAACATCATAGAATGCTTCAACGATTGAATCATGAGAAAGAAGAGCGTTTAAGGTAAAGAAAAAAAAAATCTTAAATTATTTATTAGGGATTTAATTAAAAGGAATTGTTAAACTTTGATTTTTATAAATCTAGGTTGCAAGAAGTTTTACATAACAAGTTGAAAAGAAAGATGGAATTAGGAGATAGTAACTTGGCCAAGAAATCAAAGATTGAACAAGTTCACAAAGAGTTTGAGACATTTTTAAAGGTGAGTAAAAAAATTAATATCATTTCGTTAAAACATCTTTTCCCTTGTTGATTACTGTTTTTATTTGTCTTTTAGGAGGCAATTCCTCTCAAGAAATTATTAGTTACGGAAGAGGCCGAGATCAAAATGGAGACTGAATAATAATCAGTTTGGTTATGCAAAATTATTATTTAATTAATGTATGTATATACTGAATTCCTTATCTTATTTATAAAATTCCGTGACAAATTATGAAGATTGTCATAATAGATGAATATTTTGTAATGTATTGTAAAATTTTAAAAAACTATTATTAATATTTGAATATAGTATATATATATATTTCTTTCCTCCCACTTTTCATATGGAAGTATACTGCAACAAAACCAAAACTACATAATTGTATTATTACTAAATAATGCGTTTATGTTTTTATTCATATAGCGAATATTGATTACGTAAAATCAAACTTAAGTTTTCTATAATGTTATTATTTAATATTCTCTAAATAATATAATATGATAAGTACTCAAAAACATATTTCATTATTAAAATTAATTGTAATAAAATATTTTGCTATCGGAGATGTATATCTTTTTAATTAGCATTGAAAATTTTTAATAAAAAATACTATTATTAATAAGATACTTAAAATTATTGATATCAAAATTCTTTTTAATTATAGTTAAAACTAAAAACTATAGTTATTATATTATTAATTACTATTAATATTACTAAAACTACTATAACAAAAAAAATGATTAACTCATATTAGATTTAGTTTTTAATAAAAATCTTATAAATTCTTAATTTGATTGATTTAATAAATATTAGTTTAATATAAAATATAATTAAAAAATAAACTTATTCTTTATAATATTATAAAAATCAAATCAAAAAATTATTTTTAAATATATAAAAATAATCTAAAATTGTTATTATATATATTATAAATTTAATAAATTTATAATATTTAAAATAATTATTAAAAAAAATAGAATTAAAGAATTTTTTAAAATTTAAAATTATTGATTTTTTATTTAAAATTTATAAATATGATTAATATTTAGTTTAAAATATATTTAATAAACTATTTAAAAATAAATTAATTATCTACTTTTATAATTAATATTTATATTAATTGGATTTATTTTTCTAAAAATTTATATATTTAAATAAGATATTAATTTTAATTTTTTAAAAATTAAAAAAATTTTTATACATCTTATACAAAATACATATATATGTAATATTTTAATTTACAATTAACTTCCTATAAAGTTATATTTTTTGAGAATGATAAAAATTGATATAATTATAAAAATACTATATAATATGATTAAAGAGAGGTTTTTTTTAATAAATTTATTAATAACTTGAATCAATAAAAGTATATTTATAAAGAGAAATGTGATTATATATGAGGTAAAAATTAATTATATATGTATTATGTAATTATTAATATTTATTTTATATTAATACATAATATATATCTAATATATAATATTTTTATTATACAATTAACTTTTAAGCTTTAATATACTTTTTTTTACAATCTATTATTTATATAATTCTTCTTATGATCTTTATAAATATTAATTTTATCTATTATTTTACTATTTTCATATTCTTTTTACTTTTTTTTTTTTTTTTTTATTCAATTTTTTTTATTATTAATAAAATAAATGATTTTAAATCTATGAAATTTTTACTAATAATTTTATTAAGAATATTCTTAAAAATAATGATTCTAATAATAATAAAAATAATATAATTTATAATAATTCTTTTTTAAATTTAAAAATTGACTTGTTTTTCTAATATAAAAAGATGCATTTAAATATTAATAATATGATTATTAATTAGCGATCTACAAGTCAGATGAATAAAATGATTGGTAAATAATAATAAAATTTAATGAAATTTATTAAATAAAAATTGCATTTGTAAATGTGAAGTTGTTTACAAATTTTGTTAGCCAAATGTTTAAAAATATCATTTTGCTTCAAAACTCTTAGGAGTTAGACTTATTTCTCTAATATTACATTATGGTATTTTTGCACAAGATTGGTGAAAACCTGTTTCATTAAATTCAAAAAAAAACTTAGTTTTTACCATACTATATCACTTATACATGTGTGTTAATTGCAACCTTAATGGTAAAGACTTCATAGTTACAGTTCTTCAAAATGATAAAAATAAATACAGTAGCGGTCATAAGTATCTGACTGCCTGAGATTGTCTAAAATTATTATATAACTACCCCTTAAATTTTCCAGAAATATAATGTAACACAATACATGATCACCTGTAAATTTATA